TGTAACATTCTGTGCCTCCTCACTCTGGTGGATTGGGAAGAGACGGTCCCTTATATAACCCATTCCCAAGCCATGAAGGGCTTTACAGATGCAAACCTTTCTATTTCTTTTATTCAGTCCTCCCTCTGAACAAACTAAGATAAAGTGTCATAAATATAATTTAAGACCCGAAGACTCATGTGGCTCTCGTTCTCTACATCCCATGAAAGTCCCCAGTGAAGACAATAACTGTGGGCATTATGGAAGTTTGTAATTTTGAATATAGAAGGAATGGAAGGTAAACAGCATGAATTAACAAATGAAATAAAATGATATATGAAAATGAAACAGAAGAACGCAATAGATGTGAATGAAAATGGCCTGATTATGTGAAAAAGAGCTAACAAGTACATGTAAAGAACGGGAGGTATATGTTTAATTATGAATGAAAGCACTAAACATTATCCCAGAAAATATAAATTGGTATCATTTAGGTATCACGTAGGTATATGTAAAAGCAGAAATACGTAAGTTGGTGATACATGCAAATTACTATCTAATGAAAAAGGCTGTGGATGAGAAAAATAATGCAAATATGGAAATATTTAATATAATTAATGACAGAAAGGTACTGCATAATGTTTACAAAGGGAAAAAATAATTACGAGTGTAATCAAAAAGAAAAAGAAATTTTAAGATTTAAAAAAAGAAAAATACAGTGTAGTTTTGATGAAAATAAGAAAATAGGAGAACAGGGATGAACAAAAGTCTTTCTGCAGAGCAACTATAATTAAAAATAGATGTGATTAAATGATTTGGGATGAAACTGAAGTGATAATGCATGAACTGAATGAAACTAATGCTATATGTAGTAAAGTCTAAAGAAATGATGAAATCTGTAGGTTTTCAGGATGTTAACTAGAAAATATTAAAATATGCATCTAGTTTACTTAAGGAATGGCAGTGTAATTTGATTAACACTTCTGTGAAGACTAAATCTATACATGAGAATTGGATGAATGCCATTGTGTTCCCCTATACAAAAATAATGGTAGGGAGAATAAATGCAAAAAAATACAGGGAGATCAGTTTGTTAACTGTCTTGGAAGATGTTTGGCAAAATCCTGATTAATAGATTATGTTATAAATCATCTGAGCCAAAAAGCTATAGTGAGGTTTTGCGCCAGGCAGAAGGCATGCAAATCAGATATTTATATTCAATGTGTCACTGAGAAATGTATAAATGTGAAAAAGAAAGTTTATTGTATTTGTTATTTTAAGAAAAAGATATGGTCCCATTAGATAGACCTCTTTAATGGGGAGGGAACACATAACATACCTGGCCTCTCTGATCTGGTGACTTGGAGAGATGTAATGGTCCTTCAATTGGTCCTTCAATCGTGCATGATCTGTTGGTTCAGTGAAGGGTGTAACTGGTGCACAGCCTACACTTGAAAAAAAAAAACCCTCCTGGTTGCTGCCTGCTCCTTGAGCAGGATTCTTGAGTCCAGGAGAATCCATAGATTGTGCACTGGGTCCATCTGGGCAGGGCAACCCCATTCAAAACCAAAGGTAGTAATTCTCCATGGACCAAAGAACCCCTAACTCAGAGCCATTCTATCTTACTAGGGCTCAGTTTTAGCCTGTTGTTCCCCATCCAGTTCTTAACAGACTTGAGGCATTGTGAAAGAGAGGTCATGACACTAATTCATCAGATATCATCCTTCCCCAGAAGGAAACAGGTCACCTTAAAGAAAGTGAGCAATTATCTGCAGACACACAATTAATGTGGATACGTATTCATGCTTCACCCTCTGAACTGCCAGGATGTAGGCTTTGATAGCAGCTCTTACCTGTATTTGGGCAAGTGTTATCTTCTACTAGTGGTGCTCTAGATGTCTCTTCATATATTTCTCAATTTCTCAGTATGCCATGGGTATGGGGTCCTGAGGACCAGGGTCAGGAGAGGTCAGATGAGTGCAATCCTGTTCAAAGCCCCAATCACCTCCCTATTCCAGGTGACAACTAGGGATTTGGCAGATCTTCACTTATAATATCCAGCTCTTTTTGAAAGCCATCTGAGTCTTTTGGTTGTGGGGGTGGTGGTGGTGAGACTGATCTAATAGGTCCTGTCTCTCTGTGGAGAGAGTAAGGCTCTAAAATAAGCTCATTACCACCAAGGTATGATGTGACAATGACAAGGGGATGAAGGAGAGGTCCACCAATTCCAGATCCACCAATTCCAGATTCCAGATCAGGTACAGCTCTGACAAGAACACCAAATTGGGTGTTTGACCCTGGCTGATATGAGTCAGGCCCATGATAGTCATCAGTTCCTTGAACTCCTACCCCTACCCCAGAGATGACAGAACGAAGTCCTCCAAAACTATAAATCTGGGAAAATCTCATCTTCAGCCCTGCAGTGAAATTCAGGAGATCAGGCAGGAAAGCTGCTACACAGCAGAGAGGCTGCAACAGTAGCAATCCCATTTGGTCACTCAAGCCCAACCTAAGAAAAAAAGGCACCCTTGGAACAATGCCCCTGGAAGCTATCAGAGATTCTCTGATGATAACAGCCACACTGCCTCCCTGCCCTGTAGTCTAAGCTGGTGTCTCACTTGATAACCAGCTGAGCACATTTCTGAGATAGGAACCCCATCTCTGCCCTCAGCTACATCTTGGTGATATAAGTGAGATCAGCCTTCTCTTCAAGAATCAAGTCAGAAATAAGACAACCCTTATTATAGGCCGATCTGGCATTTAAAACCAGCAGTCTAAAACCAGGCCCTCCATAAATCTACTGAAATGGATTGAGTTCAAGGGGCTGAAAGATCAATACCAGATACCAAGGGCACATTTCCTACGAGGTGACCTGCCCTTTGTCTCCTGCCATATTTCCCATTACCTGACACCACCAAAATATACTGCCCTACTCTGCATACTCCACCAGCCAACATTCTTGCAAACTTACATATTTATTTATGTACAAAGTATGTTGAATTTCACTGACAACTGGCTCATAGCCAGATAATTCTGATGAATTATACTACGGTACTTCCACATTAATAGAATCTGTAAAAATGAGGCATTTTTTCTTGAAATTCAGGGCATGATGGTAAATCACCTTTTCAATTTCAGAAAAAAAAACTTAAATGCTTTATATCACAGTGAAGGTTAGGTAACAAGAAATAAAAACAATTCCTTTTAGAATACTCTGAAGCAGAATTTCTACAATGTCTGACGAAGTAAAGCATCTCATATGTGGGACTGGAGAATCTGGCACTATGTTTTCATTCGGATTTGCTCTTTGTAAATCTTTGTAACTCATTAGCACTGGAGTGAAGGGATCAGCAAAAAGAATTGGCAACACAACCAGCCCCATCTTCTGACTAAATCACATCTCAAATGAATTTAAAAAAGGGGATAGTCTTTGGGAGATATCAGGAGGATTGTACTCCAAGCAAGAATCTCGTTCTGATGTTCTTATCACTGATGATGTTACCCAGTTGGGTAATGAAACATCTGCAAGCAAACAACCAAGCTCAGAGAGCACAAAGGACTTCACAAGAAAGAATCGAATAATTAATCACATGGAAGGTAAGGGGAAACAACTCCTTTGAGAATGGAAGATCTACATAAGAAAATCTGTTCTCACTACAGATTGTAAACACCTTTATGATACATACTGGATGTCCTTGAGTAAACTGTTTTGGAAAGTGTTTGTGAAAAGCAGTATGTAGTTAAATCAGAGGGTGACCACTGCTGGTTTGCAAATAATAATAAAAAAAAAACCCACCACAATCTCTTGTGACATTATACAATCTTGCAAGATTTGGGTATTCTTATCCAGAATTGTTAATAAATAAAAACAGTGCAAAACATGCTCATTAAAAATGTGACAAGGAGGAAGGGAAAAGCAAAGTAAACAATTCCTCCCTAGTATGTTTTGCAGTCACTGCCTGAGAATATGCACTGAAGAATCTTATAAAATATTTACACTTATTTACACTTTATTAACATCTTTAAATTTCATCCTGCATTTCAGCCTGTTAAGCATTTGCTCATATAAAGTTCCTTTTCCCAGGGGAGAAGAGATGAAAAGGTTTAACAAAAGTGGAACAGTTTGATTAGACAAATTTCATGGAGGATAATACTGTTCACTACATTCTATCCTAAGATCAAGACTCATTGCTAATCCTTGCCACTGTTTGGAACAGGAGGATAGAAGAGCTTTTCTTATGTTCTCATGAACATATGTGAACTATAAAAAGGTGTTCATACCCAGCTGGAATTACATTAATGCTCTTGTAATGTTTCAAAAATTCTTACTCCTTTGTTTACCTCCAAAATTCAGCCTGCTCAGTCATCCATCCATCCATCCATCCATCCATCCATCCATCCATCCATCCATCCATCCCAGATTCAGATTTCATTATTCTGACCCACTTTCAATCACCTTTACCTTAAACGGAGTCTCTTCACTATTTAAGTGATTTTCAGTTGACCGGCAGATGGCTAAGTTTGAAAACATATCATAGCACACTGCAAACTCCCTCACTCCCTCCTCCCTAACAAAGCAAAATGGAGAAGTTCAGAACTATTTCTGTTCAACTGTATATTAAAAGTAACCCAATAATTTTTCATATCTAGAAAAAAACATAGTAAATTTTAATAACATGCGCTGAAAAGAAGCTAATGTCAAGTAACATTTTTCAGAGTAGGACAGGGGTCCCTAACCACCGGTCCGTGGACCAGTACCGGTCCGTGGCAGCAACCGGTCTACACAAACAAGCAAAGCCCTATCCGTGGGATGCAGGCAGCACACAAAACCATACACCCTCTGATCCGCGGAAAAACCTCTCTCCACAGAACCGGTCCCTGGTGCCTAAAAGGTTGGGGACCTCTGGTTTAGGAGGCCAAGAAAATAAAATAAAATAAAAGGAATCATGGGGTACACTAAGACTCTCACAGTGCTTTTCTGTTCACAAGTGCTACAGTACATCCATTAAGAATATACTTACCATGTGGTAAAGTTATATTTGCACCATCAATGATTGCTTGTGCCAGTTCATGATCATTGTTCTCAAATGCATGTGATGCAGCCTTCAAAGCATCCCAGATTTCTTTGCGGCCTTCAAAAGCAGGTGCTGTGTCCCAAAATTCGTCTCTCTTGCTACGTAGCTGTCCATCTGTCATGGGGTAATCGCTTTTCCATTTTGGTTTCTCCTTTTTCAGGAGCTGATTACGCCCCAGGGCAACTGTATGAAAAAAGAAAGAAGAAACTAAACTTGCCTGTCTTCTCATGGGAAGAATATTCTAGTTCAAGTAACAGCTTTTGATAGTTTTTGACCACAATGTAAACAGCTATTGTACATAATTCATTACAATTACTTATCTAATATTGTACTGGATGGTTCCTTCATTTGCCTAAAAAGTTATTACCTAATTTGATAAATAAAATAAGTAAAAAAAAGCCATATTTTATCTTACATCTTATATACTTATTAATTCCCAAATCATATTCCAAAAAGAATGTTTGTATGTGGTACTGGAATTACTTTTTCTAATTGCTTTTCACTAAAATTTGTCATATCTTGAGTATCATAGAAAACCTAAATAATTTTATTAGTTCAATCTCTCACTTCCAGTTTGTCATTTCTTATCCTGCCTTACAGAGACCAATTTGTTTTAACTGAAATAAACTTCTGTAGATTATGTGCCACCAAATCTGGACAGCTGTTTATTAAAAGCTAATAGTGTCTCTTAATATAAAGTACTTTCAATATATTCATCCACAGACATACTGCTCTTTCTTAAAAAAAACCAGAAACATATTTCTCAAATCCACTCTCTACAGGATAAGAGAATGCAACAGTTTTATGAAAAAAAAAATATTCACCCACTTTCAAATTCTTTGAATTTCTGTACTGTACAGTTCTCAAGTTATGACTTTTTGTTTAAATAAACATTCATGGTATGAATTAACAACGGCCTTGGAAAGGATATTTTATGGCCTATAGCAGACATGTCAAACACAAGGCCCGGGGGAGGGATGCGGCCTGCGAAGTAGTTTCATGTGGCCCGTGAAGCCATCCTTGAAACAGTGAGGGAACGGCCCCCGCTGCCTTGGCCCTGGCCCAAGCCAGCCAGGAGCCAATGTACAATTTTATGGTGGCCATGTTGGCACTTGCACGGGGGACCATACCTTGGCACTTGCCCCGGTCCCACCCCCTTCTGCCAGAGACCCTCAGATCTGTCCCACTCCTGCCCAGGCCCCCTAGGCACCCTTGACGCGAATGATGTAGAATTGGTCACGCCCACCCAGTAGGCCACACCCACTGTATCCACGCCCACTCAGTAGGCTGCACCCACTCTGGCCACACATACCCCCAGGGCAACCGCAATGCTGATGCGGCCCTCAGTGAAATTGAGTTTGACACCCCTGGCCTATAGAGTGCTTCTGACCATTGCAAAACATCACACACATCCCATGAGATACCATGATTGCAATCTGGACATTTGGCATTTACAACAAGTTGTCAAGCGTCCCTCAATCATGTGAGGGCTATTTGCAATCTTCCCTGCTGGCTTCCGTGGAAAATCAATGCTTTCTGCTTGGATTTTGGCAGGAAAGATTTTTCAGTCTTCTGACCAGAAAGACGTTTTTATGTGTGGCCTGCATTCCCTCTGAGGCATCGAAAATATGATTTTGCCCTGATTCTACCAGGGAGGATTTTCAGTTCCAGAGGGCAGTGCATTTAAACTAAGGAGCAGAAAGTGCCCCATGGGTATTCACGAGGAAGGATGTTCAGCGTCAGAGTGAAGAGATGTGTTCACAGCACACCCTCTACTTGTCTGTGACCTGCACTGGGCCTCTCAGAGTCTCCCCCACACCCCAAAGCACACTGCACTTCTTACCTGGGACTCTGTCCACTTAACAATTGTATAGCTCAACTACTAAAACTTATCAGATCTTCACATAAGTCCTGTTGATTAATCCTAATACTGAAATATTGTGCTTGCTTCATTTATGTGATAAACAAAAGTTATCCAGTGTGAAAATGTCCCTCTTGCATTTGATAACTGGTTGTACCTTCCTCAGCTGCCACAATTGCAAACAAATGCTTCCTGTAATTTGTAATCAGCCTCTCACATTACAATACTGTGTAGCAATTCTGGCCCATTCCTTCATGGCAAACTGTTTCAACTTAATTAACACTGGAGGGGTTTCAAGCATAAAATGTTTGTTCAGGTTCTGCCAAAATACTTTTATGAGATTTATGTGTGGACTTTCATTTAACCATTCTAAAACAATGCATTATTTTCCTTTAACCATTATCTTGCAGACTTGCTTGTATGTTCTCCAGTAGAGTTTTCTGGCCCAAAGTGAAATTTTATGCTTCCTTCAATAATGGCAAATGTTAAAGCCTTGAGGAGGAAAACACCTCCAAGTCATGATAATATCACTTCATGCTTAACAGCTGGGATGAGGTTGTTATGGTGGAATGCAATGTTTGTGTTCCCATCAGAAATAATTATATTCATGTAGCTCAATGGTTCCACTATTGAGTGGAAGGGTTGCTTTCTGGCATATTTGAGTGGAAGGTTCACTTTCTGGCATATTTGGAACAAGCATTAATGTTCTTAATGAGTTCTGGTTTGTTACCCTTCCAGGAATATCATTACCTGATGCTTTTTTGGTAATGTAATCTTTAATGCTGACGTTGGCCAAAGACCCCAGGATGTTATTTTATGTTATGATCTTTGAGTGATTTTGAATAGCAGAGCCAATCTTGGGAAGGTTCACTATTGTCTCTTAACTATGTACTGATAAAAACTCAGAAATGATTTCATAACTGTTTTACAGAAATCTTTAGATCTTTATTTTTAAAGAATGAGATAAGTGCTGCTACAATCTTTATGGTGAGAACTTTACTGTGATGAAGACAGAGTTCTGAGAAGCATACAGGGCAAGAGTGCCTGAATCAACGTTCATTTTTAAATGAAATTTTCACACAACTAGCCTTCATGTTCTCTTTAACTGACTGATTTGGCTGGCGGGGATGGGGTGTGTGGATTACTTTGTCATACTAACACATTGCACATTGTATGACTTTGTTTATACAGTGAGGGGAAAAAATATTTGATCCCCTGCTGATTTTGTACGTTTGCCCACTGACAAAGAAATGACCAGTCTATAATTTTAATGGTAGGTTTATTTTAACAGTGAGAGACAGAATAACAACAGGAAAATCCAGAAAAATGCATTTCAAAAAAGTTATAAATTGATTTGTGTTTTAATGAGTGAAATAAGTATTTGATCCCCTATCAATCAGCAAGATTTCTGGCTCCCAGATGTCTTTTATACAGGTATTGAGCTGAGACTAGGAGCACTCTCAGCTTGTTACCTGTATAAAAGACACCTGTCCACAGAAGCAATCAATCAATCAGATTCCAAACTCTCCACCATGGCCAAGACCAAAGAGCTGTCCAAGGATGTCAGGAACAAGATTGTAGACCTACACAAGGCTGGAATGGGCTACAAGACTATCACAAAGCAGCTTGGTGAGAAGGTGACAACAGTTGGTGTGATTAGTCGCAAATGGAAGAAACACAAATTAACTGTCAATCTCCCTCAGTCTGGGGCTCCATGCAAGATCTCACCTTGTGGAGTTTAAATGATCATGAGAATGGTGAGGAATCAGCCCAGAACTAGACAGGAAGATCTTGTCAATGATCTCAAGACAGCTGGGACCATAGCCACAAATAAAACAATTGGTAACACACTATGCTGTGAAGGACTAAAATGCTGCAGCGCCTGCAAGGCCCCCTGCTCAAGAAAGCACATGTACAGGCCCGTCTGAAGTTTGCCAATGAACATCTGAATGATTCAGAGGCGAACTGGGTGAAAGTGTTATGCTCAGATGAGACCAAAATCAAGCTCTTTGGCATCAACTCAATTTGCCATGTTTGGAGGAGGAGGAATGCAGTTATGACCCCAAGAACACCATCCCCACCAAACATGGCGCTGGAAACATTATGCTTTGGGGTTGTTTTTCTACTAAGGGGACAGAAGGCGCGTTGTCTTACCTGAATGCCTTTTCTCAGCACAGAGATGGAGAATCCACCAATGGGTTGAGACTGTATTCCTGCCCAAAGATCAGTCAGCCAAAGTTGCCACGCCCATCCTGGACCACGAGATCCCAGTCTTGACGCGAGCGAAGCCAATGACTGACAGCAAGATGTTGTGGCTCACAAACTAGTTAACCCTAGGTCTAAATGACCTACGAGGGTGGGTGTGAATTCTCCATCTCCGTGCTGAGAAAAGGCGTTCAGGTAAGACAACGTCCCTTCTCGAGCACTGGAGATGGAGAATCCACCAATGGGACATACCAAAGCCTATTGTCCCTGAGGGTGGGAAATAGACTGGTCCCGTGTGGTACTTTGATGTACAACCTGCTGAAGAACCCTCCTACCAAAGGAGGCCTCTGCAGAGGAAAATCTGTCAATTTTATAGTGACGGATGAAGGGGGATGGCAAGGCCCATGTGGCCGCTCTGCAAACTTCCTCAATGGAGGCTTCAGTGGCCCATGCCACAGAAGTGGCTGCACTTTGTGTGGAGTGTGCTGTAACCCGTCTGGGAATCGGTAACGCCTCCGCCTGATATGCCCCGGCGATGCATGCTCTGATCCACCTACCAATGGTGGAAGAAGACACTTTCCGGCCTCTGGAGGCGGAATGGAAGGATATAAAGAGAGCTTCTGAGCTGCGGAACTCCGCTGTCCGTGAAATGTAGTATCGAAGCGCCCTACAGACATCCAATGTATGCCATTGGCACTCCAGGTCGTGCGCTGGATTTGGACAAAAATCCGGTAGCACTATTTCCTGCGATTTATGAAATAAGGAATTGACTTTTGGCATGAATGTAGGGTTGAGTCGAAGGACTACTCGATCCCTATGGAAGGAACACAGGTCGTCCCATATCGAGAGTGCAGCTAATTCAGAAATACGTCAAGCTGATGTGATTGCCACCAGAAAGGCTACCTTATGGGACAGGTAGCGGACATCACATGTTTTTAATGGCTCAAACGGTGCCTTGGTAAGCGCCCGTAAGACCCGTGGTAAATCCCACAAAGGGTACCTGTGTACGGTGGGAGGCCTGATATTCACGGCCCCTTTAAGAAATGAATGGAGTAAGGGATGATGGCCCAGTGACTCCGCCGAGTTACAAGAGAGAACCGTGGAGAGGGCGGAAATC